CTAGACCCTTCTTCAGAAAAAGGGTCTTCTGAAGAAGGGTCTAGGCCCGAAACGTCAGCCTTCCTGCTCCTCTGATGCTGCTTGGCCTGCTGTGTTCATCCAACTCTACACCTTGTTATCTCTGTGCTACAGTCAGCTTTTTTAGCTGCTTTACATTTCCTAAAGTGGCTGCTGAAGAATTCTACATGCATTTAATATTTAAAATCTTATTCTCACTTTGTGAACTTCTCCTACCATTCTAAGCTGACTGGCTTTGGTACCCCCTGCAATCATTGGCCTGTTTCTAGGGCCACATTGGACAAACTCAACTGCCCTGTCATTGGTCTTTCATTTGCCATGATACTGTGACAAACTGTAGATTTATTCAGCCACTCCCTTACCTGCATCTTTGATGATCTTTTCCCCAATAAAACATTCACTGCCTCTCATACTGAGCATTCCAGCTGCCTCCAACTTCACTTTGTTAAGGCCAAAAGATGCAGTTTTCGGTATACCAATGCACAATGGCTTGTCTATACATTGCCTGATCTGGATGGGCTACTTGAAACTCTTCAAGGCCCACAGTTTCATCAAAGTTATCACAAATTCATCTTGGAGATGAAGTAAACCTCCAATCCTGTCTTCTTTCTTTGTCTTTACCAAACATCTGTCTTCATTACCAAACTTCTTAAAGATCTTTCCTCATCCCTTCTACCCTCAACTTTATCAGTAACATAAGAATATAAGAAATAGGAGCAGGAGTAGGCCATCTGGCCCATCGAGCCTGCTCAGCCATTTAATAAGATCATGGCTGAACTTTTGTGGACTCAGCTCCACTTACCCATCTGCTCACCAAAGCCCTTAAATACTTTACTGTTTAAAAATCCACCTATCTTTGCTGTAAAAACATGCAATGAGGTAGCCACTGAGCAGGGAATTCCACAGATTCACAACACTTCGGGTGAAGAATTTCCACCTCAGCTCAGTCCTAAATCTGTTCCCCCTTATTTTGAGGCTATCTTATTTATTACCTTCATAATTCTTCTATAAGATTCCCCCCTCATTCTTCTAAATTCTAATGAATACAGTCTCAGTCTACTCAATCTCTCCTCATCAGCTAACCGTCTCAACTCCAGAATCAACCTAGTGAATATTCTCTGCACCCCCTTCCAGTGCCAGTACATCCTTTCTCAAGTATGGAGACCAAAACTGTACACAGTACTCCAGGTATGGCCTCACTAACACCCTATACAACTGTAGCATAACCTTCCTGTTTTTAAATTCCATCCCTGTAGAAATGAAGAGAACATTCTAGTCACCTTCCCAATCGCTGCTGCACCTGCAAGTGTAGGAAGTTCAAGAATTTCCTTTATTACCAAGATAGAAGCTATTCAGTTACCTTTGCTGCTTCCTCCCTTCCACTGTGTAATCCAACCAAACTTTCCACCACTTGGTGCATCTCTGATGCCTTCTGAACTGGCCCTGTATGTTTGTCTCTGACTTCTTTTTCATTGCATTAGCTGTGAATCTATTGAGATTTATGTACTTAAACAACAAAGTATATTTCCTTCACCACTGCAAATGTTTTAGTTCTTTATTCCTCTGATGGCTGTGTGCATGTTCAGCAATTGACATACCCACATGGAGGGCACTGTATATACCTAAGGTGAGCAGCATTCACCAACCTTGGGCAATTTCTTTAGGATTACCGATCCTACCGATTCTAGGTAATCCTAGGATTACTGTGAGTGGCACGGTAGCTGAATGGTTAGCACTGCTGCCTCACAGTGCCAGGGACCCGGGTTCAATTCCCGCCTCGGGCGACTGTCTGTGTGGAGTTTGCACGTTCTCCCCGTGTCTGCGTGGGTTTCCTCCAGGTGCTCCGGTTTCCTCCCACAGTCCAAAGATGTGCAGGTTAGGTGGATTGCCCATAGTGTTTAGGGATGTGTAGATTAGGTGGGTTATAGGGGGATGGGTCTGGGTGGGATCCTCTGAGGTTTGGTGTGGACTTGTTGGGCCGAAGGGCCTGTTTCCACACTGTAGGGATTCTATGATCTACTTGTGCAGTCAAGCATCCTCCAAAGTTCCATTACTCTCATGTTTGATCTTAGATGAGCCACAATTTCCTCCAACTGAATATTGAGAGACCAAAGCCATTTACTTCACCCAGCACAAAGATCTTGCCTTTGCCACTTTGTTCATTAGTCACTGCATTAGAATTCCAGGCTGAATCATACTGTTCACAACTGTGCTATCCTATTTGACTGTGATGTTGCACACACACATCAACTCTGCACTCTCGTATCTTGTACATATTTGGGCCCTTTGCCCCAGTATAGTTGACTGTGCTTTCAGCTGCTTAGGTGCAAGCTCCGTACTATGTTCATCAACATCTCCACCTTTGTAGCTTGCATTGTCTCTTATAGACCAACTTTGGTCACCCTCCTCTGACTCAGCACATACTCAGTCCCTGATGTGGAGGTGCCGGTGTTGAATTGGGGAGGACAAAGTCAAAAATCACACAACACCAGGTTATAGTCCAACAGATTTATTTGAAATTGCAAGCTTTTGGAGTGCAGTTCCTTCATCTCGACGAAGGGGCTACGCTCTGAAAGGTTGTGATTTCAAATAAACTTGTTGGTCTGGAGGCACACAAGGTAAGCTTAGCAAATTCCAAAGGCAATTAGGAATGGACAGTAACATAAAAAATCCCACAAAAGAATAAAACTTGAGTATAATCACGCAAGGAATGTAGAAGGTTACCATGCAGGTACGATAAGAAATTTGGAAAGAAAATGGTGTTGGCCTTTTTTGCAAGGCTTTTGGAATAAAGAAGTTTTGCCAGAATTGTGCAGGGTTTTGGTGAGTGTATGTGGAGATTTCAAATCATTGAATCATAGAATTTTACAGTGCAGGAGCCCGTTCAACCCATCAGGTCTGTATAGGCTCCCGTACCCAATTTATCTCATTTGCCAGCCTAATCTCTGAAGCCCTGTAAATTTTTCACTTTCAAATTATATCCAGCTTTCTTTTGAAACCTCCTATGGATTCCGCCTCCACCACTCTCCCAGACAGTGCATTCCAAATGCTAACAACTCTCTGAGTAAAGAAGTTTCTCCTCACATCACTCCAAGATCTCATGCTGCCAGTCTTGAAATTGTGACCCCTAGTTACTAACATAATAATTAGTGAAAACAGAATATTCTTCTTTAACCTGTCAAACTTGTTCATAATTTTGAACACCTCCATAAGGTCATTCTTAATCTTCTCTGCTCCAAGGAGAATAAGCTCAATTTCTCTATTTTTTCCTTGTATCTAAAATCCCTCATTCCTGGTATTATTCTGGCAAATCTCCTTTGAACTCATTCCAGGGCTTTCACATCCTTTCTTAAATAACAAGCCCAGATCTGAACACAATACTCCAAATGTAATCTGTACAATGATTTGTAGAGGTGCAGCATCACTTCCTTGCTTTTATACTCTATACCACTATTTATAAACCCAAGGATCCAATTAACCTTCTCAACAACTGTTTGAACTTATCTGGCCATCTTCAGAGAATTATGCACATGAACTCTGAGATCCGTTTGTTCTTGCACTCCTCTCAAAGTTGTACCATTGAGCCCCGATTGTTTCTCCATGTTTCTTCTACCAAAGTGCATTACCTCACATTTCTCTGCATTGAAATTCATCTGCCAGGTGTCTGCGCATTTGACTAACTTGTCAAGGTCCTTCTGAAGTCATTCAGTGTCATCCTCACAATTTACTATTCTCCATAGCTTAGTGTCATCTGAAAATTTAGAGACTTTGCCCTCAACACCCATCTCCAAGTTGTTTACATAAATCAGAAAAAACAAAGGTCCTAACGCCAATCCCTCAGGAACACTATTTTCACTTGTCTGAGAAATGCACCTCTTTCCCTATCTCCTGTTTCCTACCTTTTAGCTAAAAGACAACTCCCCGAACCTTAGACCCTCAGATTAGAAGTCAGCTGCTGTACCAACTGAACTACCCAAGCTCCAGGTTGTGTGCTGTCTAGTTCTCCACATCTATGAAAGGATATAGTTCCATTGGAAGTGGCACAGCAAAGGTTCACAACATCAGTCCCTGGAATGAGGAATGTCCCATGATGAGGAGCTCCAAAAATTGGGTCTATAGTCACTGATAGTTTTAAAAAAAAGGACATCTTACTGAGCTTTGTGAGATTCAAATGGAACCTTTTGGGGAAGGTGCTGAGAAATTGTTTATGTTGATTGGGAAACTAAATAATGGGTATACAGTCTTCATTTAGGATTGAAATGAAGAGAGATTACTTCACTCAACATGTTGTGAATCTATGGAATTGCCTACCACTGAGGATTGTGGATGTTGCAATGTTGAATACATTTAAGATTGGGTCTAGTCAGATTTTTCACCTGTCAGGGCATCAAGGGATTTGGGGAGCAGAAAGGAATGTGACGTTTAACTTCAAGATCCGTAATTATGACATTGAATGGCATAGCAAGCTTGGAAAGCGAAATGGTCTACTCTTGATCTTATTTCTTGTTCTGTTATACTATTTCACTCAGGCTCTCTGGTTGACTCTTATCATAGTACCAAGATAGACAGATCAGAACTTTTGAAGTTGAATTCTAGGTCCCCAGTCAGATTCAGCAGGAAGAGAAGGAAAGCTGAAACAAAAGATCTCTTAATCCCATTAATGAAAAGAAAGCAGGTAGGCTTTTTCAATAAGAGTTCATGAATTAGAAAATGGCTGTGGTCTTGGATATTGAAATAGTTTATTGATGTTCCTGGAGCAAAATGTTTTTCATTCAACATCTGTGTGGTTAGGACAGAGATTGGTCAATGCCATGACCAAATAGGAAAGAAACAGCAGATGCCAGCCACTCTGTCTGGTTATCAGTGATAAACCTCTCTGCCTCAGGCCACCACTCACTTATCTGTGCGTTGAACAACTTCAGTTCTTCTTATACAATGCCATAAATGAAACTTTGAAATGAACTCTATCTGAGGATTTTTCAACAGCTGAGGGCATCACTAATAATAGATACAGTAGGAAGCAGTATTACCATCTATATCTGTAACCCTGTTATAAATCTTTGATTCATGACACTCTCATTATACAATCAGTTTGTGCAATTTGCTGTTCAGTTATTTGGCTACAGTCAAAATTTTCAAATCTGTGTGTGAGGTGGTAAATTGTTACAAGAATGCAGTAAATGACTATTATCATTGAAATTTAGATTGCAGATTCTTAAAAGTGCACTTTATTGCAGAAAATAAAACATTTTATGTGTTTTTCGATATCTCTGTGCGTTTTCTGCAGTGAATTCCTATGAAACAGAGTGATGCTATTGAGGAAAATATAGCAGAAATTAACAAGGTTTTATAAATTAAATGAATGACCAGTTAATGAGTATGTGGTTTTGACTGAAGGATGACTGTTGGCTTAAAGTCTGATAAATCACAAAGATTGTTTGTATACCTGAACAGTCAGGATGCCTCATAATGCCTCACAGTACCTCTGGTGAAAATGATTCGACATTTGAGACAGTACAAGTATTAGGAAAGAAAGCGCAAAAGGGAAGGATGGCAGAAGATCTATTGGAGCTCTTTAAAATTATAGCAGGACTTGGTAGTGTTTCTACTACAGGAATTCTTTAACTCAGTGCATACATAGTCACTAATAAATCCAAAAAGGAATTTAGAGAAATGTCTTTAAGAAGAGAGTGATCAGAACATTAAACTCGTTATCACGTTAAGCAATTGAAACAAATAGTACAAGCATGCTGAAGAGGAAGCTACCTCAATACATTAGGGAGAAAAGAATAATAAGATATTCTAATAGGGTGAGATAAGGTAAGTGGCATATGTGGAATATAAACAATGATTATAAACAAGTTGAGCTGAATTGCCTGTTCCTGTGCTGTAAATTCGTTTAATTAAATACTTTTAATAAAGTTTATTAGATGTTAATTTCTGCCCTTTTGCTGTTACAGATTCTATTTATGTTATTAGCACAGATTGAGAAATATGCCGTCTTTAGTTTTTGACTACAGTTATACACGTGCAACATTCAGACAGTTTAATGCATTAGGAAATTGATGCATAGTACAAGGTGGTCACAAGGTATATTTTCAACATGATTTCCACTTTTCTGCTCAGTGCCGCTGCAGTCTACATTTTAGACACATTGCTGAAGACAGTTGCAAACAAAAAGTGTTCAATCTAGTTGTAATCTAGTTCTAGCTGGTGGTCCAATGCAGGGTTATCTCAATCTCAGTGGGTAAAGCTTAAGTCTCTGACAGATTGATGCCAAGAAGTCCCATTTGTAAACCTTGGAACTGATCAGATCCAGTTGTATTGCTCAATGGCAATTAAGGATGAGCAATGAATTCTGGCTGTTGACTGTAGGTCTGAAAGGGTTAATACTGAGGAATTACTAAGCACCACCCACTTTGGTGTTGTCATTTGGACTGTGGGCAGAACAGCACAGGATCTCAAAACAGTGAAATCTAACATCCTTTTCAAAGTCTTTGTAACAATGCCTATAATACCAATGTAACCTGTAGCTAGTTGTTAACATGCAATCATTTGTATTCTTTTAACAAAAGACTCACCCAATTTGTCTAAGAAATTATTTTCCTGTACAACACTTAGCCAAATGTGTCCTGTAGTTTCCTACACTTAAAGAGGATGCTGGCCACAAACTTCAGCAGGAGCAGTAGCTTATGCATTGCAGTGAGCTGCCACGGCCATAACAATACTAGCTTTGCCTAGCATACTCACACTCCAAGAGCAAGTAAAAAAAAATGCAAGGTTAGGGATAAAACCAAAAGAACTGCAGATGCTGGAAATCAGAAACAAAGCCAGAAATTGCTGGAAAAGCTCAGCAGGTCTGGCAGCATTTGTGGAGAGAAATCAGAGTTAACGTTTCAGCTCCGGAGACCCTTCCTTAGAATTTCAGAATGAGGGAAACTGCTTTTTATGCAGAATTTAGGGTGGGCAGGGGTTAATAAGCAAACGATAGGTGGAATTAGAGCCAAAAGAGGAGGAACAGTTGCACAAAGGAATAGATAACAGTCAGCCTCGGAGAATGAATAGCTACTGATGTGATAACAAGGCCTGGTGAGTGGGGATTGGAGTAAGAATATGGCTGAAGGTGCCTCAAGCCCTAACATTGTTGAACTCGATATTGAGTCTAGAAAGCTGTAGAGTTCCCAAGTGGAAAATGAAGCACTGTTTTTCCAGCTTGTGCTGAGCTGCGCCAGAACGTTTCAACATACCACTTGTTCCCAGGCCAACATCACTGTCTCAGGCTTGCACTAGTGCCCAGCGAAGCTTAGCGCATGCTGGAAGAACAGCATCTCATTTTTCACTTGGGAACTCTACAGCTTTCTGAACTCAATATTGTGTTCAACAATTTTAGGCCTTCAGGCAGCTTCGCCCATGTCCTACCCCAACCCCCACTTAACTTGAATGAACCTTAGTCGGTATCCAGCCTGTATTATAGTTGCCCTGGGAAAGCTTGATGCAGTAGTGTCAAGGAGTTTTATTTTCTATCCAACTCATGCCGTACTTGTACCTGAGAATGATGGACAGTGTAAAGAGGAAATAATCCGAGATCTAATCTACCTTGTACCCACTCTGCAAATATTTGAATGGGCAGTTTAGAGGGTTCTTTATATTCAACTCATGCTACACCTGATCTGGAATTTTTGATGGGACTGCATATAAACTTTTAGTCTGCACCAATCTGTGCTGTAGTTGTAGTTGAATTGAAAGTGCTGGCTTCAATAATATTTGTATGGACTTGCAGAGCAGGTTCGAAGTTCCTGCACCTAAGTCCTAGGTTTCAATGTTCTTAGTGATCTCTGCAACTAATCTTTGTTGTACCTGATTCTTACCACTCCCACAAATCAGCATTTTGTAACCTCTCTGAATCCATCCATCAAAAGCATTATGACTGCAATAAAAAAAATTAATCAAAGATGTATTTGTGTCTTTGAGTGGAGATCCGTACAATGAGGTCCTGTTTTTGTATTTCAGAGACACATCCCTGTTGACATGTGTGGGGACCCATCCATGGTAGGATTTCCTGAGAACTGCTACCAGCAAGGATTCTACAATGGACAGCAAGAGGAACTTGCAGCTCAGGAAGTGCCTACTGGTCTTGAATACTCCACTCCAGGTAAGAGGGCGGAACACACTGATAACTTTCTCCCTTTCTCACACTGCTTATTAAAAACATAAGTGCTGAATGTGCCTGGCTTCATTATGGAAATTGCATTTTATCCCTAGAAATGGGTTCAAGTCAAGACTGATTAATAAGTTGAAGGTTTTCTGACTCTGCTGAAGATCTGTGAAGGTTTATTCACATGGTTGAAGATTATTTTCTTTCTGATGAAGACCTTATCTATTCAGTGAGATTGTCCCTCATCAATAAATATCTCCTGTCCTTGATTATTATTTCTTTTCTTTTATCTTTGTCAGATGATTCCCTCCCTCTGATAAAGGTCCTTTCTTTCTTTGATGGCATTTAGCTGTCTGGCCTCTCTGAGGACAATGTCCTCTCATTGTTGAATGTCTCACTCTCTGAAATGGCTATCGATGAAGATAAAAGAAAAGAACTGAAATAATACCAGAAAATGTTGAAAATACTAGCAGTTCAACTGGCATTTTAAGGAAGAGAAATACAATGGTTATGAAGCCTTCATTAAAACTGAGGTAAAATTAGTTTTCTTTTAATGTTTCATTCCTTCCTTTCGTGGTGTGAAACCCACAAGTGCTACTGCTTATGCCCCTTAGTATGCATACTTTGGCTCCCACCATGATTCTGACCCCATCAAATCAATTTCCACTTTATTATTTTACTTACTTTCTCTCCTGGACCCTTCTATCATTATTTCTCTTCGCCCTGAATTCCCAAATTCCTATTGCAACTCTTCAGTCTCCATATTCACCTGATTTACCTACACCACCCTACACTTGAATCCCTTTTCAATAAGCTTCCAGGTTCACTCTGGATCTCTGCTGGGATTCTCCAGAGAGCCTCTTGGGCCTTCCTGTCTTGTAGCAATCTCAATTTCCCAATCCAGTTCTCTTGTTTACCCTTATCCCTGTCTAACTCACTCTTCTCAGTGATAATCCAATAGAATCTGCCAGTAGTACTGCTGTCATGGCCCCTTCCCATACATTCCTCCACAATGCCCATTCAGCCATGACCAATGATCTTGAAATCAATGAGCCTATTCTGGATGATTCATTTCCCTGATGGAAACCTGGCTGAGAGGTGGTGCTCCTTTTCCTCTAATTGCCTACTGTGTTCACCATTTCACTGATCCAGACATTGTAATGGCAATGTAGCTCTTTGAACCAAATTTCACCATGACCTGAGCCTCCAGTGCTTTCCCCTTCTTTCAGCATTTCACCTTGTTCTACCACTCTTGTCTCATTCAAAACCGTATTCTCTGCCAGCCATCCACATAGCATGACAGTTTCTTAATTAGATATCTTCACTCCTTCAGCCTTTGGTTGAATAGCTTCTCATTTCAGGGAATTTTGACCTCATCTCAATTCATGACATTCTGTCTTTTTCCCCCGAATTCAGCCCCCTCCTTTGATCTCACATTTTATGTAAACACCCCACACATATTCACAGTCAGCCACCTGACCTTGCCAATACTCCAAACCTCCAACTCTGAGTTATTTGAAGTCCTGTAATTCTGGCCTATTCAACCCATCTAATGCTTCAGAGTTCTTAGATCTGTCCAAAGAGAACTCTTGTATTGCAGTAGCAGTGCCTCTACCTCTGATCCAGGAGGCCCAGGTTGAATTTCTATCTGTTCCAGAATTGTGTCATAACATCTCTGAACAGATTGTTTGGAAATAACTACACTTGAATACATTATGCATGTTTGACTGAGAGATCAGAATTGTAAAAAACAATTTTCTTAGATGGGATAACAAGGTGTAGAGCTGGATGAACACAGCAGGCCAAGCAGCATCAGAGGATCAGGAAAGCTGATGTTTCGTGTCGAGACCCGAAGAAAAGGGTCTCGACCCGAAACGTCAGCTTTCCTGCTCCTCTGATGCTGCTTAGCCTGCTGTTTTCATCCAGCTCTACACTTTGTTATCTCAGATTCTCCAGCATCAGCAGTTCCTACTATCTCTCTTGGATGGGATTCAGTTTTTAGAATCTCTACAGTGTGGAAACAGGCCATTCGGCCCAACAAGTCCACATCAACTCTCCAGACAGCATCCCAAACTCACCCTCCTAACCCTATAGTTCCTACGACGAATCCACCTAACCTACATATCCCTTAACACTATGGGCAATTTAGCATGGCCAATCCACCTAAGCTGCATCTCTTTAGATTATGGGAGGAAACAGGAGCACCTGGAGGAAACCCACATAGATACAGGGAGAACATGCAAACTCCACACAGACAGTCACCCAAGGTTAGAATTAAACCTGGGTCCCTGGTGCTGTGAGGCAGCAGCGCTAACCACTGAGCCACCATGCCATTTGGCAGCTGTAGAAAACTATCAACTTTTCTTGATTGACACCTTTAAATAATTACAATAAATTATTCTTTCTGTGGTCTCTTTTGGCAATGTCTCAATGTTTATTTTCACATGATTGAGTGCTGTGACGCTTTTGAAGTCTCTGGTCATTGATACTTTAATGTTCTGTTTGATACTTTTAAAGAGTTGCAGGAACTGTAGTTTTTTTTTCAAAAAATACTTGTGATTGATTGGTGTTTTCTGAGCAGTCCCTCATACCGTTATTACTAATTGTCTAATGAATTCCTTATATGGAATGCCCATTGATGTGGAGGATATGGGAGAGTGGGCCAAGGGATCATGACTTATCATGGAAGAGATGGGTAAGATCTTTGAAATATACTTTTTGGACGTTTGCTGAATCAAGACAATGCTTTATGAATCCTCTGAGAAACTATAAGCCACGGGTCATTCAGAATCGGGCCTGATGACAGTTGAAGGGGTCTACAAGATGCCTATCTCGCACAATGCAGCCAGCGAATTTAGGAACATCGTACACTACCCATATCCTTATCCTGTGCCAGTGAAAACTGGGAATGGGAGCAGGAGGCACCACAATCGGATAATGCGTGCCATCATCTAATGGCTCCAAAGTTCTTCTGACTCCAGATTGACGTCTAGAGAACAATAACTCCTTTTTCTTCTCAGTGGTAGTTATGAACGAAAGGAGCTGCAAACATGCCAATGCAGTGTTTCTTCTTGATTTTAGTGGTAGGACTTATGCATGTCTCAGCATTTCTATCCTTGTTGCCCTGCCCTTGGTTTTCCAATACACCTAACCACCTACTGTTCTCAGCACCACAGCAACATTGAAGAACAGTTGAACTACATTTGCGTGCTGTTTGAACCATAATTTACAAACTGAGGCCTATGAATCTGGCTGTGACTTAAAGTTGACAGGTAGCAAGACTGTGATTAGTATGTTGGTCCCACATCTCACAGGCCTCGTATAGCTACGTCTGTGGCAAGAAAACATTTGAATATTGGATAAGGCCCAACCATTTTTTACATTAACAAGTGTTAACAGTACTTTATATTTCATTACAAGTTTCATTGACATTTCTGACATAAAAGAAGATGGTCCAGCTTCAGTACTGCTAGTTGGCATTCACTTCAAAAAATGTTACTATGTTTGGACCAAAAAAAATTTGGAGTTTATTCTCGAGCAAAGAATTACGCACCACAAACCAACACAATAGCAATATATGGTGATGAACAGAGAAGTATAAACAGGAAAGCCAGCCTGTGCACTTAATGCAGAGTTACCACACATCTGAGCTCAACCTTAGCATGAACCACATTGAGTCATCACCTCTAAAACAGCAGCTCTTTTAGGACCTTTCTTGTGTATCTCTACTCTATCAAGAAGGTTAGTGTTGTTTTTCACATTTTTACTCTTGTCACATCAGTAAGTTTGAATTAAATCACCCCTTACACTCTTCCATCTCCCTAATTTGACCAAGCTGAAACAAAGTATTTTTGAACTCTAACCTGCTCTACTTCATTCATTCCCAAACTCTCAAAATTTCCACTATGTTACCTCCAGCAATGTTTCCTTCTTCCTGAAATCCGCTAAAAGTTTTGGTATTTAATTATTATTTTAAACTCATTTTGCCTTCCTGATCAGGTGGTATGCTGCTACGTGGACTTAGCCCTGGACATCTCAGCAATATAACCCGTAAAAGTCAATAATATATCGCTAACACAAAGGACCTCAATCAGTATAATAAAACTCACAGTTGCATTTCCATAATCAAACCTAAACTAACTTATTATCCTCAGATTTATTTAGTTTCTAAGAAAATGTATTTCAATTCTAATGACCCCAGTCTCAATAGCATTCATGGCTTCTTGATACTCTGTAACTCTCATTGTCATTCAATCCCATGTCTAGCGAAAGGGATAATTTCCTTTCCTCATTCTCTTCATCTCTTTCTGCTCCTCCCACATCTATTTTCCCTCTTTCTCCTTCAATGCATTGCTCTCTTTCACTTTTGTTCCTTTTTCATTCCCTCACAGTTTTGTTTTCCACTTTGTGAGATCATTAACCTTTCTCTCTTTCATGAATGTTTCTTCTTGCATTTTCCATCCTTCCCTATTTTTATACTTTAGATTTCAATTTTCTTGTTTTAAATGTTTTTCCTTTTGACTCATCCATTCAATCTCTTCTAAACCTGCATCGCTTCAGTTTTTGCATGGTGTGTATCATAGAAATGAGGCTGTCAAAATGAAATGTGAATCAGCAAGGGGAAAAAAAAACTCCAAAATAAACCAGAGATAAAGCCTTTGAAATAAGGAAGGGGACTGGAAATATAAAATGCACAAGTAGTAAACAGACAGTTCAGGTCTTTTTGAATTTTGTTTGGGAATTTCTTGAGGGTCTCAAGCAATGACTGTCTCACCCAACATTTAGAATTACACCTATCCTTCAAGTTTGCAGGATAGATTTGAGCTCTTTCGGTTAAGGGGTGATCTGAGAAAAATGATAAGGGGGCTTTGGGTACATGTAGCAATTAACTGAGATAAACTAACTCATATTAAGGATCAAGTGCATGCATTCTTTAAACTGCATGTCTTGGTAACATACCCAAGAGTGTTCAATTTCTCTGGTTCAGTATATTTCAC